GGTAAACGTGACAACGTTGTAAGTACTTCTAAATAGTGTTGTCTACACACACTTCTAGAAATAAATGCATCGTTGCCACGTTTACCAGATAAATATTGCAAATTAAATTTCTACTTTTTGATTATGGTCTGGTTAATTTTCAGCCTGAGTAATAATAATTGTTTTAATTAAAAAGTAAAAAATAAGCTCCCAGCTTTAAATCTGAAAATATAAGTTCATGATTTTTAGAAAAATAATGGAATTTTACTATTTAAATTACATATATAAATGCAGAAATGCTATATTAGGGATACTTCAGACAACCTCGCCGTCTTTAAGCATAACCGATACGAGACGTGAACGGAATTAGGGATTTTCTGACGCAATGAGTCACTGAAAGAATTTTATGGGAATTCCCTTACTTCTAGCAAAAATATCTTAACGGGAAAAGTACCACCAGACAAAAGAGTTTAATATCTTTATAAATATATAATTAATTCACATTCAAAAATGAAAGTGAACGGGCCCATTATATAATAAATAGAGGTATAGAAATAAACTTTTATTTTACTGAAATAAAATACAAGACTAGGTATATTCGAAGGATTTATTACCATAAAAAAAATTAAAACAAGTTACCAGTCAACAATAAACTTTCAAAAAATTTTTTTTTGTATGATAAGCTTTGAAACAGTCCTCGATACAAAGCCCCACTTTACACTCAGAACACCACGTTGTTACTAATTTTCTTTTTTTCTCACGTTGCGTGGTTTTCGCACATACATGGCATGTTCTTTGTCCCTTAGCCTTAGCCGCTGTTGCTGGTACATACGAAGGATAATGTCTTTCTACAAAATTTACTGCTGCTAGTCTATCAAGATGTTCTCCACATCTACGTCCAGGTCTCACAGCAGTCAGTGTACCATGTCTGCTCAAAATTTGCGATATAAGCCGCCGTATAAAATATTTTAGTTTGAGTGAATTGTTTCCAGTCTTTACCAAATATAAATTGTAACAATTCAGAATTGTCAAGTCAATAAAATGAAAAAAGATTTTTTTGTACCACTTTACACTTTTTCGTACACATTCAACAGTAGACATCTGCATATCTGCCTTATCGATAAGTCTCATATTTTTAGTGTAATCTAAGACACAGTCAGGTTTTTGAATCACTTGTTGAGTGCGATAGTTGATTTTTTCACTATTTTGTAGCTGTCCTCTGTGAAATGTCGTAATCATATGTACATCCCGTTTGTCTTTCCATTTTAGTGCCAAAACTGTGTCCTCACACTTCATCTTTTCTATCTGCCCTCGTTGTAATCGGCGTTGAGTAAATTTAGGAAAATGTCTTCTATTTTTCTTGATTGTGCCACAATAACCTGTGTTTCGCTCATTGAGGTATAAAGCTAATCTTGGATCAGTATACCAGTTGTCCGTATATAATAAATGGCCATTTCCTTCATATGGTCTTATCAGTTTTTTGATTAGACCACCTCCGACCCCCAATGGGTCATTTGCTGGAATGTCATTTACCGATCCCGTATATACTAAAACATTCAAAACCATTCCTGTCTCACAATCACATGCAAGAAACAGTTTTATTCCAAATCTATGTCGTTTGGAAGGAATATATTGTTTGAACTGAAGCCTGCCTTTGAAAAGAATTAGTGATTCATCTATGACCAACTTTTGAAATGGATAAAAAATTCAGAAAATTTATGATTTATATTTTCAAAAATACTTCTTACTTTCCAAAGTCGATCATTTTCCAAGGGATTGTTGTTATCAGCAAAATGTAAATATCGCAATAATTGAATAAATCTATCCCTTGTCATATATTTAGAGAAAAATTCGGTAGATATCATGGGATCTGTGGACCAGTAATCTTGTATTTCATGTTTTTTGATGTGTGGCATCAATAATAGCAATGCCAAAAATGTATACATTTTGGAAACACTGGTGTCAAACCACCTCTTTCGTTTGGGTGTTGGGCGTGCGTCATCGCAAAAATAAAAATAATTATTTGTTTCATTCACAATAACTTCTATTAGTTCGTTATCGAAGAATTTTATGAAATACTCGTATTCTTCAGCTTCTTCGTGAATGTTAAAATTTTCTGTTATTCCGGAATTCTCACTATCAAAATTGTATATTTTAAGCTGGAAGTCATTACATGCTCTCCAAACTAAATTACCGGCAACCGTTTCATTTTCACTGTCAGTGTCAGTTTCACTTGAATTGTCACTTTCATTTTCACTTTCCTCTATTTCAAATAGATTCTCTTCTTCATCGCTATAATCATCAGAGCTTTTTTCAAGACTACGCCGCCCTCCCGCTGATGAAGTTGATGGTAAATCCATATTTGTATAATTACAAAATAAACGAGTTATTACGAGCACTTTTTACACAAAACTTCTATTTTAGGTCTGATCGAAATGTAAGAGAAACACTAAATGAAAAATATTATGTCTTCTACCCTATTCCAAAAATTATTTATTTTGTATAATGTACTTACATGTAAAATTTTATCATACATGTGACAAAAATAAACATACAAAATTATTTCCCTTATCCTAAAACCATTTATTCTCCACAAGATCCCTTTCCTAGAAAAACGAACACTCTAATAACCATAAAGTTGTTTGTTTTATATGAAACCAAATTCTAATACAAAATAAAAAAAGTATAAACACCCATAATCATAAATCAGTTTCAAGCATAAAGAAATTTTGCTGATTGACAAATTAATATTGGTTTCAGAACGATTGCCGCTGTTGAGAAATAACAAAATGTACCAAATCGTTTATTTACGATGCCCGCGTTACAGCATAGTTTTTATGAATCGTTTATTTACGATAGCCGCAGTTAAAGGGAAATCAATTTATCTTTTATTTTCAATGTATATATTGTTATACCGATTTTGTCATGAAAATAATTTTTGTATCGAAAATAATAAAGACTATTATTATTAATGGGTTCCGCAGACGAATCTGGATGTGGCTTTTACCTTGTATCGGCATTTTCTGCAAGATGACAGGTAAGTTTTTGTTTTACATTGGTTAACTTTTTATGTAGTAGGTTGGGTACTTAATTGTCGGGTTCATTAAGTACGCGTCTGACAATTCCGCTGGTTTCAATAGGAACTATTTTCTAAAGCTGGTAGTAAGTTTTTTCTTTTAGATATAGTTTTTCAGGTTTTCAATAAGTATTTGCGGTACTTCTCCTGTTGAACCTACGATAATTTGTACTACGGTAACTTTTTCCTGATTCCACATGTCCTTTATTTCATAATTTTTTCTTGTTGTTTTTTTTTTTTTTCAAATTAGCAGCGAGTGAAACAGAAGTCATGAGGTAAGTGTGCTTGTTATTTTTGTCGGTGAAGACCACATCATCTGGTCTGTAATTTTGTAACGGTAAGTCAGTTATTATTTCTCGTAATATATTTTTGTAGTTTCGAGTTGCGCTGACCTGATCTTGAATCGCTATGAGGAATGACACCGTTTCGGGGAACAAATATCCGAGTTTCAACCACATGAAAGAGTCAACCACATGAAAGAGGCATTTTTGTTGATGTGCGGTTGCATCAGTGTTACTGGATAGCGGCCATGTAGTTCTTTTGTCCTCCATTTCTCGTCAAGATTGTCTTCTTCTGCTTCGATATTGTTGGTATATGCTAGGTTTAGCGGTGTTAGTTTTTTGTCGAGTTTTGCTAGGGTTTTGTAGAGTCGGTTGTTTTTTGTTTCAATATTAAAGTATTTTCGGAGCATGTTCATTTGGTTTTGGTTGTGTTTTGGTATGTGCAAAACTCCTTGTCCCCCTTTTCTCATGGAATACAAATCTTTCTTTTGAGCTGCGTGGGTGATGCTTACGGAATTTTGTGCTACTGGTTCAGATGTCGCAATTAATTTCCTTAATCTCCGTGTCTGTCTAAGTAAGCATTCCGAAACTGTATTTTAGTACGGATATTGGATATGTGATTATTGCCTTTGTTTTTGGCATTCAGTTTTGTTTTCAACATTGTTCGTAGTCTTTGTTTAAATTTAGTTTTCAGTGTTTCTTTACTTTGCTTCTGGTCTATTCCTCTAGCTTGTTGATACCCAAAATACTTATATAGTTCTTCAGTTTCCATACCTGCTATTTGTCCTTTGTCTGCACCCATGTCATACCCTTCAAGTCTTTTCCATTTACCCCTCTCCATTACATTTTTTCGGCACTTCTCTAATCCGAATTCCATTTGAATGTCATCGCTAAAGATTTTTGTTTATTTATTTAAGACCTTCCACACTACATCAAATTATAAGTGTTACATATGGTTGAACTCGTATTGAATAGGAGATTCCAATAATGACCAAATATACAGGGTGATGAATCTGAAAAACCGAAGTGACTAATAATATAAGAGAAACAGCAAATCTGGCAACATTGCAAATATCAAATCTGGAATCTCCGTATCCCAAAATAGGTGTACCCCAAATTTTGTACAATTAGGACTAGCAATTTACGAGATAATTGGCCGTTTCCAGACTTTTGGTCCACTCCGTATAATTCGCCTATTGCAAGAAGTATAAGTTTCTTTTGCACTTATTGCTTTCCTAAAGCATATATCTGTAACAACCGGGACGCCTAAAGGCTACCACTTGTCACCAAATGTAACAACCGACTAGCCTAAAGACCATTTGTAACTACTGATAGGTCCTTAGCTACTGTTGTTAATATACTATTAAGGGATTAAGACAGCACTCTCACCAGCCAAAAGGTCCTGGAGTCCAGAAGGAACATCAATTTCCCAGTAGCAAGTAAAATTAAAAAAAAATTAAAAAAACAAAAAATTATCCCTTAATAGCATAGTAGAGCGGTTCTTGGCAACTAGTTTTAGTCCTAAGGAAATAGAAACGCCGAGGCTTCTCAAATGCTCAGAATATTTGCCTGGTTTTGAAAGGGGGAGGAGAGAATAATATTAAGTATTTAAAAATTAACAAATGTATATTTAAAATAAGTACAAAAGTGAGTAGTATTCTAAAGAATAAATTACTCAAATTATAATTAGGGAATAAAGCACTATTTGATAATATATCCAAACTTTGAATAAAGATTTATGACACTTAATTAAACTATACAGTTTGGACTTATTAACAATTACAATAAAAGAAATATACAATAAGAATAATGAGTCAGTCATCAACAAAACCAATAACCCAAGTGACCTAGTAAAACAAGTTCTAATCCTTAAAAATTGCCTGTATTAAGGAAGGATCTACATCTTCGTTATCTAAAATAATATAACATTTTAATATAAATAATGAACCAAGTTTACAAAATCTTACTTTCAATTTTTTGCAAAATAATGCTTCGCAGATGAATACTTTGCTCGGCTTTTCTTTTTGCTAACTTAAAGAGCTCCCTTTCTTCTGATCTCCTTAAGACTCCATTATTTAACTCTTGAGTTAAAATATTTTGTTTTAATTTTTCAGAGTGTACTTTTTCCTTGCTCAGTTGTTCTTTAATGGAAGCTTTTACAACTGGTCTTCTCGAAGGCGTTATTTGTCTGCTGGTGCTTGCAGGTTGAACAAGAGGCACCTGAAAGGTTGCACTTGTCTCACCACTTTCAACTTGCACTTGAGGTTCCTGAGAAATACAAGTTTCCAACGGTTTAATCTCGGTTAATTCATTTTCACAAAAGAATGGTTCTATAGGACATACATCTATATCGACAACTAAAAACAAAAATTTGATTTAAAAACGTAACACTTTTGAAATTGTTTTGTTTACCTATAGTAGGCTGAAAATCAGAATCAGGAATGTTTTATATTCCAACACCTGCTCTTCCTATCAAAAGTAACACCTCTTCCAAAATACTATTTTCTTTGAGGGTGCTTGGCCCACCCCCTGTACCCATTACATCCACTTTTAGTTTGCTTTTATAGGTTTTGGCTTCATATTTCATTTTGTTCCAAATTTGTTTCAAGTTATTTACATTCCTAAAACATTAAAACTATAAACCTTTGTAAATAAGTAAACCTGGAAAATAATTTCACCTCTTAATATTGTTATTTGAATTAAAATCTTGAACCAATTTCATCCAAGCCGTTTCTTTCTTTTTATTAAATGTAAAATCAGTTTTTTTGCATAAAATGTCACTGTGTATTTGCAATAAAGCAAGCAATTTCACCTTCTCCTCGTCTGTAAAATTGGCACTTCTGTTTCTTTTCCCTTTCATTTCTCACAATACAAAAATTATTAAGACAGTCTATAAAATTACATTCTACAATTACTTATTTATAACAAAATACGCAAAATTAACAAAATCAAAAAATAACCACAACTACACTCCAAACAAGTGAAATTTGAGGTTAATAACAATCTTCTTTTCTCACTAAATGTAAAATTGTAATCTCCACCTATTCTGTTTAGACGTTAAAATTGCACAGTAATGCCAACTATATTCATAAAACTATCCAAATTTTTATGTAGGTATTTCCTAACTAAGAATTTCTTAGGTTGGTGAAATTCGATTTAGGTAAGTATCGGATTTAAGAATTTCCTAGCTAAGGAATAACCTAAAAACAGGTTGGTGAAATCGGGCATAAGTATATAATAGACCAGAAATTATTTCAAAAAATAAAGTGTTTATTTTGATTTATATTATCGAAAACATTTAAAATATACACTTTTTGTTCCCTTTTTGAATGGTGTTCACGAGCTCAAAAATAGTTACAAGTCTGGGAACAGGGAACGTTTAATGACGGGCGCCATTTATTTTCGATCCCTTAGAAAATAAAAAAAAAAAACAAAGACTGAATCAAAATAACAAAAGTTTTCTACAATTTCCTTTATTAAAATTGTGAAATTAAGAAATAATCTCCATGATTCTCCAATATTAATACTAGCAGTAACCAGACCATATCCACCATAAAGAAAATAATCCACCACGATGGGTCGCCCATAAACGATTTTGTTTTTTCTCAGTAATATTTTTTTGTGATTATATATAAAACATATAGGTCGTGCAATCTTTAAGAAACTGAAAAATGTGTACGTGCTTCAACGCCAACGCTCAGCTCACCAAAACTAAAAGCCAAAATTGCTCGCCTTCTGTCCCCCGTTTCCGCTCGCGCTCCAGAGAACGAAAAAATAATTAAACGATAAAAGGGAAACGAGGTTAAGCTATCAGGAGCTGAAAAACCATCCAGTTCCTTCAGAGTGGTACTGGTGTAACCAGAACACCGCACGAAGAACGGATTTTTAAATTATTTCCAAACATGCCTACTACTTGTCATGTCAAATGCTGTGACGGTTACTTGGAACAGGTTAGAATAATGCCAACAAAAACAAAATATATTTAAATTTATCAAGACCCCTAATAATTAAATAGGGTAGGAGCAAAAATCATAAAAATTCATAAAATTACCATACGAGTCTGAAAATTAACCAAAGCAAAGTAGTAATATTTTTCTATATATATTTTAGTGGTATTAAATCTAAACAATTTATGGCCATTCCGTTCCTAGTGTGGCCTTTTATGATCCATTGATGACCACTTGGCCATTATTATTTAAAAGACAAATAAAAGAAATGTTTGGAAAGTGTTTATTCGTTAAATATAAAAGTAGGATAAAATTCATTTTAAAGTATGGTATTTTTTCATTTCTTCAATAATAAAGTAGTACTATAATTTTTAACTGGAGGTTGAATTTCCTCCATAATATCAATTCTGTCATAATAGATTTCGTCCTTTTTTTCGGGCCAGTTCCACAATTTCCATTGTGCTAACTAGTAATTGGTTTTTCTTTTCATCTGTAATTATTCCTGGGAAAAATTGTTCCTCATATTTTACAATTACATATTTACAACTATAGGAATTTTCTTTCTTTTACTTTTTTAATTCGTCTTTTTCCAGAAAATCTTTTTCAGGATCAATTTCTTCGTTTTTTATTTCCTATTCTTTTCTTATTAGATGACTTTTTTTCAATTTGTTCATCGCCAGTAAGTCTTTTATTTATTGATTTATTTTCAACATTTCCTGATATCTATAGCTCTGATATCTGTATTTTCTTTTTTTGCGTATTTTTATTTTTGATATCTTTTTCTGTAATTCCATTTTCTCGAGCCGTTCTTTTTGCATCTCTATATTTCTTCTTTTGATTGTTTCTGTCATTTCTAGTTCCTTCTGTTTCTGCTTTCCCTCTCCAATATATTTAATGATTCGTTTTCTGTTTCAACTTCTAATTTAGTAATTCTTGATCTATCAAAATATCGATAATATGGTTTAACAAACTCGTTTTCATCAAAAAAAAGATTGATTGTATTCCGGTAAGTCAAATTCTATAGCATCGGTACAGTTGTCAACTGGATCTATAATATTGGTTTTTGGTACTTCAAATGTAATAGAATCTGTGAGACTTATATTAGCATCTAACTGGCTTTGAGAATCGTTCTTGTCATTTATGTCTAATTGTTTTTAATTATCGAAATAATCACATAATAACGCATCATTATTCTTAAATTTCTCCTATATAAACATTTATCTGAAGTCTTATAGTTTGACTCTTTGAACTCTAAATATTTCAAATCTGAAAGTCGAGATTTGGTTTTGTAAGGTACGTTTCACACTATTCATATTTTTTATTTTCATTGTTAAAATTCATTTTGTAATTAAGATATTGCTAATTTTTTAAATAATAGCTTTCCAATATATTTGTTATATCAATCCCTGTATTAGCTTGCTTCGATATTTTTAAAACAGTCTCCATTTTTCTAGTCTTAGATAAGCTTTTTTTTAAGGCGGATACCTTGCTTTCACTTGACGTTCCAGGCATTGTTAAATTATAATCATGGACAATCCTAATTGTTTCTTTAAAAATTTTCGTATATTTGCTTCATTAGTTAAGTCAGATACAACAATTTCCTAAAAACAGTTAGTTGTGAAACAGTTAAGAAAAATTCGAATAGGTGATTGACTAAGTTCAGGATCCATATTGTTATCAAAATTACACAGCAATGGTTGATCATCAATATTTTTAATTTCTGCAATCAAACTGGGTGTGATAATATCGTAAGTTATTTTTTTATGTTTTTGAGATTTCAATTTATTCTAGTGGTTCTCCTCCACTTTAGTTCGCAAAATTTTTATTTTGCACCATATTAGATTTAGTTTTTTTTTGTTTAAATCTTGCCATGTCTAAAAACAAAAAGTTATATTATCTTAAGTTTAAATTAGACGAATTTCGTTACACATTGTACGTAAACATGAAAACCTACTTTTCTCCATTCCTTCCAATCTTTTCGTGAACTATTTGCTACTTTATTTAATATTAACGATATTTTCTCTCATAATTATTTTTCCTTTCTTTGTGTAAAATCGGTTAGCATTTTTTTTATCTCGTCAACACTAATTTTTCATTTTGTGTGTGTCGTATCCATTATTGTAAATAAAAATTAAAATTTCCGTCTCGGTTTTACAAATTTAAAAATGAATAAATATCAAAATTAATTGACAGGTGGTAGCAAAAAATTCATAATTTCATCAACAAAATAGATCTTGTATGCATCTTATAGATCTTGACAACAATGGGCACTAATTTGTCCGTGTCCCTTATATTCAAGAAAAGGCTTTGATTCACTTGCGACTAAAAACGAGGATCGATTTATCAGCTTTGTTATCTAAACTTACCAGTTTAATTTCAAACTAAAATGTACAAAAATATTTTAAGCCTCACACAGACTTCGTTCTTTTTCATCCGTTCGTATCGCCGCGTCGTGTACTCGTAGAATCAAAGTGCTGCGATTGCGAAGATTGAATATGTTGATACTGAGAACGGCTATCTTGTAAAATAACTTTCGTATACCTCGAGATGTTGCCTATTTGAGCTTCAAATAGAACGTCGCATGAAAGCTTCTCAGTAACAATTGCAATTTCAGGAGACAACGTGCTCAGTTTATTGGCAATATTTTTACCACTTGTGTCAAGTTTATCATCATCAGCATTATTGAGCTGCTAAGATACGATTTCTATCACTTCGTCTGGTAGGTGGGTTGATTTTCTTTTTACATTTCGTGTTTGCCCTTTCTTTTTAAATATTGAACTTTGTCGCTTACCGTTGAGTTGGTAGGTGTCGTAACAGTAGATAAATCGTTTTCATATGTGATTATGGTAGCTTCTATTCCTGTCGAAGACGAAGGAGACATCACATCGTTTACAGAATTCTCACCCTCGCAAACTTGCGATTCTAACTGAAAATGAAAACAAATATTTGCAAAAGAAGTTATTTAGTTCTATATTTGACACATGAAATGGACACCCAGTATATACATAGCTAGGTATGTACTTTACATCTTTTTTTCTGTGTACACTAAATAGAACACACTGTATTTTATTTAACTTACCTTTTCTACCGAATCATCGTCATTGGTGTTGTAATCGATGCTTGAAACGCTCTCTCGAGGAGTTTCTTGATGACTCAAAAATATTAAATATTGAAATTACCACAAATTTGGTTGATAAATGTCATCTGTCCCAGGTCCTGATCACTGATACTCTTTGATTTTTTTATTTCTTTTCTAAAGGCGTCTCGTAGAGAATCTTTTGTTTTCTACAGTTTGTGTTGTTGCATTTTATCTATTTCTTTAGTAATACTGCATATCGTCCGTGAACCAGCAATACCTCCTAACTCAATGTGGACAAATTTTACAGGAGGGCGTAAAAACTAAATTAAATATAATTGAAATAATTTTTTGTTTCATAACTAAAAAAAAAACTATTGATATTAAACATTTTTATCTTCAATAGGTATAAACCGCCCATTGTCGGGGGGGGGGGGAGCCGGGGGATGGGGGTGTTGTCGGCTTTCCCCCCACCTCTATAACTCTCATTGCTGGGGGTGACGGGATGGGCGGCGTATTTGGGTGGGCAGTTGCAGCCGCCTGCCTCATTTGAAGCGCCCTCAGCTGGTCTTCTACTTTTATAAGCCTATCTTCTAATGATGACATCTTGCGCTTTGGATATACAACATGACTCTGCAAAAGTTTTGGTTATTTCCTAATATTTTAGCGAGATAGGAGATTTCAGCATAACAAAATTGTTTCGTTATTATTTTTCAAAAAGTTAGTTAATATTTAATTATATTGTAGTATAACGAACAGGAAACTTCCTACATACTTAAATGTCTATATTTGTTTCTAAACCGAGTTACAATTTCTTCGTTCAATTTTTCAACCAACTTGATTACAACTGGATAATTAAATGTTTATAACTTTAAACGACGACAATAATTTATTAGATTTTTTGTTAAAACTGCTACTTTGGAAAGCGTAACATGTTTATCTGCGCTAATTTCAATAGTAATTTTATTAAATATGGCGAGAATATCGCAGCATTAATCAATTAGATACCAATCTTCGGGAGTTAGAAGCGGCAGAGATGTATTGTTCAGTGTACTATGAAATGGCTCTTTTGTTTGTTTTACTCTATTTTGCTACGCTCCAAGGGCCGTAGCGAATGAAAAGATATACTTTATGAAACTATATTATTTTCTTTGGACTTTTTTTAAAATTGTTTAATTATTTAAGTTAAACAGTTAATTATTATTAAATTAAATAGTTATACTTCATTAAATTTCTGGTATATTTTAGTCATTATCAGTTTAAAATCGTTTGTGTAATATACCTAGACAAATTGAGAATCAACCTTCGTACAGTCAGAAAAACAACGCAAAAAGAACAAACTAGAATAGTCTTACCAGAAGTCTTGTTTAGTAGCAACAGTCGAATACCTGATGGTGTGACGATGGCTTAAACCCAAATTTCTTCGAGTGATTCTCTGGACTCGAGCGACCGGTCAATTCTGAAAGACTTATAAATAATTTTAAGAAAATGAAACAATTGATTCCAGGGGGGTTAGATGTATTTTCTACTTTTTGTACTTTAACTAAATTACATGTGAATCGTTTGATTCAGCATAGACAATATTTTAAAGCTTACTTTTTTTTACAACTTAACTACATGTGAATTGTTGGATTCAGCATAGAAAATGTTTAACACTTACTTTTTTAATTATAACTAACTTACATGTGAATTGCTGGATTCAGCATAGAAAATGTTTAAGACTTAATATTTAATTATACTCAATGAATATTTCATTGAACAAATCTTGGTTACCTTAAGCAATTGCTTGAAGCTTACATATACCTTACCTAAAGTATTTAATTAACAAAAGTTTAATAACCAACCCTTACATGGGTGGTGACATACTTTATAAAACCCCAAAAAAATAATTTAATACAGGGAGTTCCACTGAAGGTGGTTTAACCTCTAAAATAACCTAATCTCATTAAATTCATGAAGTGAAAGAAACTTTGAAAATAAACTATTAAATAATTACTTAGCTTAATTAACTCAAAATGGTGGTCGAGCAGAAATCACCGGTGAGCCTCGGGATCCAATGAAGTTAAACTTCAGCACCACATCTCCTGTAAACCTCAACAAAAAAATACATCTAACTCCTACTCATCTAACTGGGATGGAACTGATGGAAGCTACTCTTCTCTCCCTAAGCACGCCGGTTACCGGTCATCCAAAAAAAAAAAAAACAAAAAGAAAGGCAAAAGCTCGATTGGCTGAAGGATTACCTTCGCGGCTTTGAGCTCCCCCAAAAATCTATGAGGTAAGAAAAAGAATAGTAAGCGAGAGTCAAATAAAAAAGTTTCTACCACTTACCTCGTCGAAACGAGATGCCTTATAAAAAATGGAGCCTACGGTTTATCCAAAATTAAAATCCCTTTTTCAAAAAGGCCAGAATAAAAATTCCTGGACTGCTCCAGTAAATCCCTTGTTGCCTGAGGTGGCTTTTCAGGCCAAGTAGGCGTAATACGTCCTCGTCGAACAGATTTCCAAAATGGAGGCTCGTAAAAATGAAAATCCCTTTTAAAAAGGCTGGAATAAATTCCACTTATTAACTGCCCCAGTAAATCCCGCGGTGCGGTTGCCTCAAGTGGCTATTCTGGCCAAGTAGGCTTGATACGTCCTCGTCCTTATCGAACCGAGTTCACAAACACCTTCAACGATAATAATCTCGCCATCATGAGAAACTACCATGAAATCGACTCAAGAAAATTCGAGAAGACGGATATTACAAAAAAAAATGACACGGAAAACAATGGTACCAACATCAAAAATTTTAAAGTTTCTAATTCTTATTATAAAATAACAGACGCACTCACTCAAAGCCCTACTTAAAATTTTTACAGAACCCTTGTAAATATATGTTGACAGCACGAAATATTCAGTACACTATTTCTTTACCTAACTGCCCTTGTTTAACATCCCAAATTATTAATTACCCTTATTTTAAACCCCTCACTAACAATTTATTAACAATCCAAAAATTTAGTACAACCCTGGTCAATTGCTAAAATGTTTGCGAATAATCTCGTTAGTTGAGTAGACAACATCTAATACCCCTGAATAATAGACCACACACAATGACCCATCGAGTGTGTTATGTTGACTATAAGTATTTAATGAAATAAATATTATAATTTTAAATGACTTTAATTACTTACTCTAACAATTTAATATACGTGAATAATGTAATGCTATAAAATTAATGATTTTGACTATGAAATTACAAAAGTTTAATTATTATAAAAAACCATTCTAACGAATTTTAATACCGTAACAATTTAACATGTCGTAAGTAGAATTCCATCGAGTTGGGCAGTCTTGCTTCAGTTTTAAAACTTTACTGCCCATTTTCTTCTGGACAACTTGCAGTTTTTCCGTTGCCGACGAATTTAAAAAAAAATGCCACAATGGATTTAACTTTCTGTACAGTAGTATTAATTTCACTCAAACTAGCTTGTACTACCAAGTTAAAGGGATGTACGAAGCAAGGAACGTGCCACCAATTAGCTAATTGAACAGATTTTATCATATTTGCTGCGTTATCTGTAACGCATGCTACTAATTTGTCCTCTAAGTTCCACTCTAACAGTACTGATTTTATTTGTTCAGTAATATTTTCGGAAGTATGTTGTCCTATGAACTTAAATGTTGATAATAATCTGGATTTAAGTTCACAGGTTTCGTCTATAAAATGGATAGTAATTGCGTAATAACTCTCGTTATTAATTGAGGTCCAACCATCAGACGTAATCGCAACATAAGTAACTTTACGTAATTCTAATTTAATTGCTGTTAGACATTTCTCATAGCTGGCTGATAATAAGCTATTTGATAAAGTTTTCCTACTTGGCAATTTGTAATTTGGAAATCTCTTCGTAAGACGTCAATTTTTCGAGATTATCTTCACCAACTAAACGATTTATTATTCGAAGGTTCACTTGATCGTTACACACTAGCATACTTTTGTCGCCTTCTGGACTGAAGGACACTCAAATCGATTGGTGGTGGTGGTGGAGGTGGTGGTGGTGGTGGAGTTGCTATAGTCTGCCAATTTTCTAGTTCTTCAGTGTCATCATTAAAAATCAATTTTAACTTGTATCTCTTCGCTTCATCGATTATTATGGAAAACATATTTAGCTTCATATTATTTACCATTGGGAAATTCATCTTTCTCCATTCTGTTTGATTATCAAAACGTATCGCCATTTGCTGTACGCTATTCAGTACATTGGTATACAGTATATTGTTTAATATGGCAGTAAGAATAATAAAATTAGCTGTCAATAAGGTCATATATGTGATCGTTTAAAAAAAAAGTAGCCTCATCACTGAAACAAATGTGTTTCAAATAGCTGGATTTTGCAAAATATTATTACATATAATTTCACAATATTCTAGACGGCGGTCTGGATCATCCTCCCTCAGTTCATGAACCATCTTTATTTTATAAGGATGAAATATATTTATTTTAGAACTCTCAATCCATACAGTCATCTGTGTAAACCTCACAATTCAAAGCAACAGTTCTACTCGATGGGGACGGATTATTCACAAATTCGGTCATAATGTCCACTTGTTTATCTTCCCTAGTAGTTGATCGCCCAGAACTCTTTTATCAAACTCTTCAATTCTACGTCTATTATCTTCGCTTGACATCTCGATAATGATTAAAATTCAATAGTTGGTGCGAACTACCTCCCTCACTCCTTGTTTAAACCTAATCAATAAAATAGGCGCAGGACACTGCGCGTAATTTTTCTCTTCATCGATATTTTCCTTCCACTCCTTCGTTTTCCCCGTTCAAATTCGACCAATAACAGCCCAGATACACGCTTAGGTCCTTTTGGCATTGCTACTGCGCAAGATTTTTCTCTTCAACGTTATATTATGTTCATCGTGATTTTTAACTGGTAAAGTCATGTGTTGTTTTTCAACCTTCATTTTAATGAATTCTATTGACCACTGAGAATATACGAGGTGTGGCAATTAAATAACAAGAATTTTAAATTTTAAAACATTTATTTAAGGTGAGTACAGCATTCCCTTATAATTTTCGGACAAGAATATCTCAAAAAGTAATTTTTTTAAAAGTTAAAATTTTGGCAAAATAAATTAGGCAATAATATCTAAAATATGCTTATATTTTAAAGATTTAATTATTTTCAGTTTCCAAGAAAAAAAATCAAAGGGCTTTAAATTTTTAAATATAATTAAAATAAATGCATTCCTCAACAGCAGTATTCTTAATATAATCTCCAAATTTAAGCTCTTAATCTCTTGTTAATGATTTTTTAAAATTCGCCGAAATTAGTGCTGCTTTCTGGTGTAACGCGACTGTAACTATCGCATCGTACACTCTGAGTCATCATTCGTTTCTTGCAATGATTTACACCAGTTTAAACCAGAAAATAGCACTTAACAAGCTGTTTTAGCCACTAATTTCGGCGAATTTTAAAAAATCATTACCAAGAGATTAAGAGCCTAAATTTGGGGATTATATTAAGAATAGTGCTGTTGAGGAATGCATTTATTTTCATTACGATATTTCAAAATTTAAAGCCTTTTGATTTTTTTTCTTGGAAACTGGAAGGAACAAAAACTTTAAAATATATGCATATTTTAGATATTATTACCTCATTGATTTTGCCAAAATTTTAGTTAAAAAAAATACTTTTTGAGATATGCTTGTTCGAAAATTATAAGGGGCGCTGTAATCACCTTAATATTTACAATGATTTATGCACCCATGCCTTCACAGTACTCTCCTTCGAGTCTAATACACTTGGTCCAGCGTTCTTCCCATTTTTGGAAGCACCCCTGGAAGTCTCCAGAAGTTAGGTTCTTCAACACCGACGTTACGGCACGTTTAATGTCCTCCAAATCCTTATAGCGATGCCCTTTTATTGGTTCCTCCAACTTTGGAAATAGCCAGAAGTCCAGTGGTGTCAGATCAGGGCTGTACGGGGGGTGGGGGAGCGTTGTTATGTTCCTACTGGTCAAAAACTGTCGAACTTTTAATGATGTGTGAGCAGGCGCATTGTCATGGTGAAGGACCCAACCATTTTTGGCTAATTCCGGCCTCACACGAGACACTCTGACACAATCGCTTAAGAACTTCAATGTAAAATACCGAAGTCACCGTTTGTCCTTGAGGAAGAAATTCTCGGTGCACAATACCCGTTTTATCGAAGAAACAGATAAGCATTGTCTTGATTTGGCTTCGAGACATCCGGTCTCAGGGTCATATTGATACACCCAGCTTTCATCTGCCGTGATAATCGAATGTATCCAGTCACGCCCTTCACTGTGGATTCGTTCAAGAAAGTCCTCGCAAATCGACCGGCGCAATTCTTTTTGCTCCGCCGTCAGCACTTTCGGAACAATTTTTGCACAGAGCTTGCGCATCAATAAATCATCGTGTAACATCTGGCGAATGGTTTCTTTATTAATACAGAGTTCATTTGACATCATTCGGATTGTGACGCGTCGATCTGTCCGCACCAACATTCTCAAACATTCGACATTTTGCCTAGTGTGCAAGATTTTTTAAAACATCAAAAACAGTTCTTTAGTACAAAGTTGGGGTGTGTTGTTATAATTATTAAAATAAGTTTAAAATCCTTTTTTTTTATTATTATTATTATTATTATATATTTATTTCCACTATCCTTGTCATGTCCGTTGATATGGTGCTTTAATGTCCGTTCAAGTGTATGGGTGTTAGCACCTTTTTTTCTCTTATGGGCCCTGATAGAGGTCCGGATTCAAAATATTTAATTTGGTTTTTTAAACGTTTTCGTTTTTGGTTGTTTTATCGACCATGCGGTGTCTTCAAAACTAATAGCCTTGTCAATTGACAGGATATGTTTGTTCTTTTTTCCTAATAATGTCATTTTCGTAATGGTGCACAATTTCAAAGTAAAATACTTATTGTATTGAAATTACTCCTTTTTAATATAGTGTACAATTTGGGTAAAAAATACAATTTTTTATTTTTTTAATAATTTAATTTAATTTTTTTTTACAAATAAACTGATGAAAAAATATACACAGGCTAAAAAAGCATCGCTGTGCCAAATGCTCGGAATTAGTTATTTGGAAATAAAAATAAAATAGGAAATATAAATATTTTTTTAGTCTTTAACTTGTTTATCTAATAAAGGAACACCTGTAAAATTATTTATCATGCAGCATATAAACGATATTTGGTTGAGTTGATCACTTCAGCTGTTTGGAACATTACCATGTAAAATTCTATATCTTTTTACATTCCTTATTATTCTTTCAATAAGAATTCGGGTACCTACAAAAATCTTATTTTTATTTTTTTAATTTAATATAAGAATTGTCCATGTCATTGTTATTTTTTGTCTGAAATGAGAAACTGATTAGATGCTCTCTTCTAGAAAAAAATAATCAATAAATAATAATATCCCTCTATTTCAAATTAAAATACATACAATTACATACATATCTGTACCCTAGAAGCAAACTATGCCAAGTCCAAGAACCCGATTTTTCAGGAGTGGCAATTTAAAATTTATAACACTGATTTTCTTGTCTTAAACATTTACAGATAAGTTATAGAATGTGTGAAATTTAGGAATTCGGGTTTTTATAGGAACCTTTGTACATTCAAGCAAAGTCGACGTTTGGGAAAATGCTAATTTTTGCTAAGTGACTTAGCATGTTTTGACTTAAGGGAAAAATTATTTTATGGACTTAGCCTCATTTCAAGTCCAAGATATCACTATTACAAGTAGACTTGACATAGTTTTTCAATACGTTTCAAGTCCATTAAAAATAAAACAAAACCTGAACCTTAATCTTTATTTCAAAATAATTAAACCAAAAATTAAAGTATTTTTGCCGATGCCACTTGGTGAAATTATTATTAAAGAAAAGTGACCAAGCCTTAATTTATTCAAGTTCTGCATTTCCATGTAAAATATTTTTGTAAAAATCATGAAATCTGCTAGGCACCCATTGCAGAAGTTTTTGCAGATGTTGATACTTTTTGGTGGCTATTGGTTTGGCCCCAGCTCTAATTTGAGGTATAATATTGGGCATAGAATTTGAGCGTCTATTTAAATCAACAGCAAGGAATTCATCGTCAAATTTTGTTTTGTAAAAGAGGAAACCGGGATTCTCCCGTCTTGTTTGTAGGTGGATTGCATTAGAAATAGAAAAATCGACCCCCTCTACGGACTTTTTTCTAGAAAGAAAAGGTGTGTTTACTCCTTCATAAAGTTGTTTGAAATCTCTAAAATCAGGTACTCCCATATTTATCACATTTAGTTGTTTTTTTGACCCACAGAGACGATCCATCTGCTGCCAGTCCCATGGTGTCATGATCTGAAATCGGGGTATTTTTTTTTTCTTTCGCGTTCAATTAAAGCGTGATCAGAGTCCGCCTCAAGGTGGGTGTGACCCCTAGCGAGAAATTTATGATTTATAACCTGGATCTCAGGTTTAATTTTCATTATCCAAAAATAACACATGACCAACATAATATTTCGATTCTGACTTGGGCAATTATCTGACCAAAAAGTGAGTTCTTGGATATCTCCCACTTCAGACTCTACCCACTTAATTATGCAAGAAGCTACTTCATTTCCCCCGCGACCACTTACGGTCTCATCCCACATCATACAAAATGAGCTTTGTGAAGTTGAATCATTAATTGTTAAATTGTACGTCCAGAGCTTAAGTGAATAAAAGCTTTGTGAATTTTGAAGATCTGGCGTGGGAAGGAACTTTTGGAGATCTATCATTACAACTTTTTCCAAATTATGATTAAGTCTAGCCCTGTTCTTATCTTCGGACTTTAGTTTATATCTGTTGTTGGCATCACTTAAATGTTTATCATACGTTTCTTGAAGAGTCTGTCTACTTTCTTGAGTTGCTTCTTGTAGTTGCAACTTGAAGCTGTCACATTTATCGCAGGTATCGGTGTCGGGACTTTTAAAAGCGTAGTTATATTCATAATTAAAAATTTCGGCATATAGCCATTCTTTTGCCATATTTTCTTTTGGAACCTCATTTATTTGACACTCTTCTAAATATAAGTGATACATACGAGATATATTTAAATGAGAACCCAAATACTTTCTGTTTGTCTTTTCTCGGCTGTAGTGCGATTCATATGCTCGAAACTTCGAGATGTGAGATCTTACACTATTCCGAACCTCTTCGGATATTTTATTTGCTGGTTCATGTTTTCCTCTTTTATCGGGCGTTACTATTCCGTCTTCCTTTTTTTTGTATAGCCGTGTCAACAGTTTGATGAGAAATGTTTAATGTGTTTAAGAAAAACTTCATGCACACTCTCTGCCTGATCCCATCTACTTCAAAATGGTATTTGTTCATTTGCTTTCTCTGTCCATATCTTTCGCCTGTTCTTTCTCGTAATCTGTTAATTGGTACTTGTTCTACTTGGGACGCAATAAATTGCCGTCTAATTTCTAGGGATTTTCGCTCGTTCCAAAATTCCAAATGTATAATATTCCGTTTATCTTCAGAAACCCTATCTTTGCATTTAAGTTTGCATACATCAGTACATGGAGATTTAACAGCTTTTGTTTTAATTGTTTTTTTCGCAGTTTTATATTCCATTCCTGAATGTCTCTTGGCTCTAGATATATTTCTTTTCCACGCTTTAGGATTTTTCTTTCTTTTCCTCCCTTTAACACTATCCTCTTTATCTCCAGTTTCTTTGTCAGCTTCGGTTGATTCGCTGCTGTTACTGTCATCGCTATTCCTATCGTCGTAGTATGTAGGATCAGCTATATCATCATCGTTGTCAAAATCCAATACCTGTTGCTTTTCTGGAGTTTTATGGAGTGGCTCTTCAAAAAACTTCTCCGGTCACATGATCGTATTTTTTCGTGTTTGGTTGATCACTAGGAACAGCGGATGAAGAAGATGGTTCTTGGTCCATTTGCATTAAATTTGGTAGGTTTACTGTTTCGTCCTGTACGGCAATTGCTACTTCAGTATCAACTTCTTGTGAGTATTGATCTGACAGGAAAAAATAATTATTGGAAAATGTCAGAAACGTATTTTTTAATTTAAATATGACTCAGCATATCTGTCTTCACCTACCTAAATGGCTCTGCAGCTGTTGATTTGTTTTAGATATCACATTTGCCTGAGGAAATTGACAACTATATAAATCGACGCTTGCAGTACATGAAAGTTCTATCAAGTTGCTTTGTTCGGAATTATTTAAAATATTTTTGTGCACACAATCACCTACAACAATGATTATTAAAAAGTAGAGATGTTTATATTGTAGAAGCAAACACATTTTACCTAAATTTTTCTGAATTTCTTCTCCTACTACTTCAAGTTCTACATTCTCCTGAGGAGTTTGGCAGTAACTCTCGGAAGCAGAGCTTGTAGTACCGGCCAATTTTTTTTTTCAGATTTATCTGAAATATTTAAATAAAAATTTTTATTTTACTGGTTCTGAGTAAATTAAAAGAAAAATCAATATTTTATTTAGCATAGGAAACTTAGTTCGCTAACTGTAAATATCACTAATGTCACTAATTTTAGCAGTCTCAAAATATGTCCAATGTTATTATAAAAAAAAACATTAAACACTTTCAATTAAAAAACTAATTTAATAAATATTATGCTATTAGAGCTACTAATAAAATCACAAACTTACCAATTTCTTGGCCTTCCGTTTGATTGTACTGGTTATTTGGGACGACATCACCATGTTTTTTTTACTACCTAGCAGGCTAAGTATTTTTGCGGCCCTGTTCGACATCGATACTGTCTTCAGAAATACTTATAACAAACAGTACTATTATTTCTTTTATCCGCAAATAATTCAAGTCACAACTTGTAAACACTGTCACATATGCCGTATGCCTTGTTAATAGCGCGGGTCTTGAAATACTACTGGACTTGGTGTAAGGGGTTTTCTCGCCTCAGAGAAAACGATTACTTACAAATGACGCCTGTTGACGGGACGGCTCTTGGGCGCCAGATTTTATGTGTGGTTTACTCCACAAACTTTCGAAACGGCGTCGAAAGTACTCGGGCAGCACAGATGGAGATGAAAAATTCCAGGGGTCGTTGGTCACTCAGACACAGGTAATAAGTAACCACAAGTAACGGGCTTTAATCGTTACTTGTGGCGATAAAGAATTTCTCACTGCTGAAATAAAGGGGGAAAGTAAATTAGGGATCAGTAACCTTAGTAATAGTCAAGGTAACGTTGACACATTGAATTTAACTATTTACAATACATAATTTGCAAGTAATATTTCAACGCCCACCTTCGCTCGTATTTTTAAAACCCTGAACAAAAAGAACAAACAGATCGGCCAGTAGTGAACTTTGATTAGTCTCAATCAGACGGTATAATTAAAATTAAAAGAAAGATGCTCGGTGGCAATAGTAAAAAATTAATAAATTGTCGGTTCGGTGGTTGAGCCAAAACGAAACCAAAAACAAAATCACTATTTCAGTTAAAGAAGAAAAATGGCAACTAATTGCGGTCGTAGCAAAAGTTTGCTAGTTAACTGTTAAATCGGCAAAAAGATTGAACCTAAATATTTTGTTTCGTAAAAGCAGAAATAAAATCACGGTCGTAGAAAAAGTTATCTGGTTAACTATCTAGTCGGTATTGAAACTGAAACAAACCTCCTTGTGTTAGTAAATAGGGAATAGATAAATGATAAGAAAACGGGATAGTATCAATCCTATGAGGAGTGCACTCGTCAGAACCAGCCCGCTCAACATAAAAATGATACTATCATTTTAATCACGGCGCAGAGGTAACAAAAAAAAATAATCAAAAACCGGGTTAGTATTTAATCCTATGATGAGTGTGCTCGCCAAAACCAGCCCGCTCAAACATAAAACAAAATATTAAATCGGGTCAGTATTTATCCTATGATGAGTGTGCTCGCCAAAACCAGCCCTCTCAAACATAAGAAAAACACTAATATGTTAATCACGGCTAGGGGTTAATCTAAAAAAATCTAAAACCGGGATAGTATCTAATCCCATGTAAGCTTTCTCGCCAAAACCAGTCCCCTCAACATGAAAAATGATACTATTTCAACTTTCCAACTTTCGAACTAATTCTATTCCCAAGTAAAGAAACATAAATGGAAAAAAAAAGTTAAACCAGATTGTGAATAAATAGAAACAAAATTTATGGTCATAGTAAAAGTTAAGTAATTAACTATATACGGAATTTAATTTAAATTTATTATTACTTAAAAATAGAAACAACATCCACGGTCGCAATAAAAATTAAGTAATTAACTGTATACGGAATTTAATTTAAAATTAGGTTTACTATTACTCTACAATAGAAACAAAATTTCTACTTCCTAATAACCAAAACTAATTTCCAAGGTTTCTAAATAAAATCAAAACTAAATAATTTATCTGAAAATCAAAATATTTTTAACGAAAATCTAAAGTCAATTATTATTTCTATTAAATAAAATCGAAAACAGAATAATTTAATCAAATAAAACTGGTATTCGAACGTTTAGCAAGAACCGACGACAGAAAAAAACGTAAACATGAATTCGGTGTACCTAACTACGGTCTCGGCAATGATATTACGGCGTATAACGAAGCAGACTTAACGAGGTCGGAAAAATGAAATCAAGCTAGTCGAGATCGGTAAAGTGAATGACTTTAATACTGAATGCTGAATCCGAGTCTCTATGCCCAAGCAGGCTGGCTCCCCACTCGGTGTGCACGGATCGCGCGCGCTATCGTTACTCAGGTATAATACGCGAATTTAAATGAAACAAAATTTGATATACAGGGTCTACCCATGAAGTTAAAATAAAATAAAAATTGAAATTTATATCCGGAATAGGCCGAAATATAGTAATGAAAATTGACTTCATTACATCCCCCCCTCACTTCGGAAAGAAAAATAAAGGTGAACATCGTTTGCCTTTATTTTTCCTTTTATCCGCCTACCTTACTGTTACAAAAACTACTAAAATTTAAAACTTAAAAAAAAATATAATCTTCCCAATCTTCTTTCTTCGGTTCCGGAGTCAAAACCATACCATACCAGCAGACTCGGAACTACCATTGTCGAAAGCATTGGATGCCGACATTACGGCGTCGCGGGTGCAGGTCCACCTGCACACCAATGGAGCGAAATTTCTCAGACGATGCTGGAGCAGAGGCTTTGGGTTGGACCGGTTTAGAAACACACGTGCAGTCTCGGGACATGGTACCCACCAATCCACAACGGGAGCAAAACAACAACAGCTTTCGATCACAAGCCATTCTATGGTGGCCTGGGTACCCACATCGCCAACACAGATCCCGGTGTACCGGTAGATGAATCGCGTCATTAAGGGGACGGGGCTTCTTGGCGGTTGGTTCCCCGACAGACGGTTGGTTCCCCGACAGACGGTTGCTTCCCCGACAGACGGTTCTGCCTGGAAGTCGGATTCTCGAGAACTAGAGTGGGTGACCTTCACATACCTGTCCACCACATATGAATCAGTATGCCATGTGGCAAGTTTCGGGGGGAGGAGTAGTGAAATCTGCAACGATGACCGGGACAGGTACCTTCGAGGTTTCAACGACGGGTACGAGATTCTCTTCGGAGAGCGGTGCCTCCTCAGAAAGGACGGAACCAGAGAGACTTAAGACATCAAAGGAAGTATCCGAATCCATAACACTAAAACAACAGCAGAATTAAAATTGGCAAATTCCGAAGGCTATTCGGACGGTAATCGGAATTTTCCCAAAATATTCGGCCAATCTTCGGTGGGCAGACGGAACATATCATGATACAATAAAGAACGGTACGGAAGGTCGGACGAACCCAAACGGAGCGGAAAAAAAAGGGAAAAAAAGAAACTATTGCGGATTGGACGGGCAGGGGCAAAGTCGAGACAACACCCCTACTCGCCCGCAACGAGAACAAAATAGAATGGCGGATCGGACGCAGCCCTAGCGTCGATGACCGGGGTCTCCATATCGCCAACAGGTGTCGGCGCGAACAATAATATAGCTTGGGACAGGCGGAACAGTCCGGGAAAGGGGTGAGGGGCCCGGCGGCGGCGGAGTTGTAGTTTACTTGGCAGGCGACTCATCTTTTCGCCAAAACAAAATATGGAGGGGATCCCCTGGTCCTTCTCTATACTCCGTAAAATGTTCCCTCTCTTCTAGAACTATTGGCGGACGACTCGGGACACTCATTCTAGAAAACAACATCATTGATTAGCGTTGCGATCTGTTCTTTCGGCTAAATAGACACGGTGCGAAGCTTCAGGTCTCTATCGCTAGGTTATTGGAGCCAGGGTTAGGGTTCTTCGACAAAACCTTTTGCCTCAAAAGACAAAGGCCCGGTTACGGAATCCGAGGGGGGTCTAACACTGAAGAATGCAACCAAAAGAAAGATGTGGGCAGAGAGGCATGAGGTCCATCCACGAAAGGCTTACGGGGCATAAGGGGGTAAGTTAATCCTTACCCAACGAGAACCATGCCGGATTTTTACTCGGTAAGTAAGGCGTGGATCCCGTGCAGGGGGTCGGAGAAGTTGTGCCCGACGGAGCAACGTGGGGGGGATGGAGGGGTGAGCTTCAGCCAAAGCTAGTTCATTTCGGAGTCTGTCCAACAAGAATTTGGTGGAACGGTGCGGGGTTTCAAAGAGGGAAGTATCGGAAGAGGGTGCATAACCCTGGAGGGCTATTCCGGCGTCGGACCACAAATGATCAATTAACGGATCTGGCAAGGGACATTGATCAGGAAGCAGGATCTGGCAAAGAGGAATTGGCACCGGCACAGACGGACGAGTAGGAGTAAAAGGAAACCTAGGCTCCCCAGATGACAGGACTATGTCCTGTAATATCATTATCTTAGGCTGCTCGGAGGAAGCGGTATGAGAAGAGGGTTGACCCCAAATGGGACGAGGTGATTCGAGCGGGAGAGACGGCGGGGCTCCAGCGTAACCGTAGTACGACTGGATCGGAACGGAGGGAGAGTGATTTAGGGTCCTCGGATCCGGCCCCAGACACTCAACCGAGATAAGTTTAAAATTGATGTCGGTGCGGATCCTCTTGGGTGTCTGGAGGGGGATCAAACGATAATCCGGATTCTCGGGAGTTCGGGCTTGCATAGCTGGAACAGAAACGACTAAGCTGACTCAACAGCGGGTTTGAGATCCTTTATATGCACCTGATTGAGTCTTTTTCCTAAAGCAGCTTTTAGGTTGTAGACCACCGGAGAAACGACTTTGACAACGGTGTATGGACCTGAATATTTCGGTGCTAGTTTGGCAGCCACATGATCCACGGCCGATGACAAAGTATGTTCTCGCTTCATCGCCAGATCACCAATAGTACACCTCCAGTCTCTTCGACGCAAATTGTAATAATGAGCCTGCGAGGTAAAAGCTCGGGATAGATTGAGACGGGCTAGGTCAAAACACTCTTTTAGAACGGATTCAAAGAGTTTACTGGTGTACTGTGTACCATTATCGGTTATGACTTCTTTTGGACATCCAAAAGTGGTGACAATGTCGTCGTAAAATACGGTGCTCACGTTCTTTGCGGTGGCAGTGCGGATTGCTTTGCATTGTACCCATTTAGTAAATCTATCCATAAACATGGCGATGTATGCATTACCCCTTTTACTCCGGGGTAGTGGTCCAACAAGGTCTGTGCTAACAACCTCCCATGGTTGTCGATTCGGTGATGGGTTTATTTTTCCAGGTGT